TTCAAGAACTAATACAGTGGTCAGAAAAAAATTATTCTACAACTTGTGCCTAGTTTGTTTGCTTTGGATTTCGCGCAAAGCTACACGAGGGCTATCTGCGCTAGCCGTCCCTAATTTAGCAGTGTAAGACTAGAGGGAAGGCAGCTAGTCATCACCACCCACCGCCAATTATTGGGCTACTCTTTTACCAACGAATAGTGGGATTGACCGTCACATTATAACGCCCCCACGGCTGAAAGGGCGAGCATGTTTGACTTGTGTCTAGAAGTGTGATGTATGTAGTTAAGTGAAACAGACTGAACACTGACTTAATCTCGGTTCAGCTTACTCTGATTGATGCATGATTTCTCATCTGGCCTGAACTGCAATGTTCCCTAAGCATATGAACAAACGAACCTTGATTCATTTTTAATCTTATGTGTTCTTGTTGTTTCTGTTTTCTAATGTTATCAAATTCACGACATGGCCATAGTATGTAAATTCTTTTTAATATTTATTTGTTTATTTCAACTGAAAATAAAAGTAATAAATCTTAAATATTTTGATAGTTGTATAGCCTATTCTGACTGTACCCCTTTCACTACAAGGGCATATTCAATTTGGTTGTTATACGTGGAGTTTTCACGAGACATATGGTGGTGTCATCTGTTGGTTATAATGCACATTAATTTTCAAAATTTGTTTAAGAACGCGATGTGTCTTTACTTATTATACACTAGCTGAAGTACCCGTACTCTAGACGGAAGTTATGTATATTCATGATTAATGAAAGGTTATCTTAGGGCATGAAAACTTGCTTCCCTTATATGTAATTGTAAAAAACGTAAAACTGAAAGTTTGTATGGATCTCCCCATGGACCCAATGAACCTCCATACCAATTTTGATGACATCGATCCACATCCTGCGAAGTAGTTACATAGACAGTGAAGATCCATCTACAGGGGGCGAAGTAGTGGTAAAAAACGCCCATAAAAACCGCAAAATTGAACACTTGTGTGTATCTCCTCGTGGACCCAATGAACTATCCATACCAAATTTGGTGAAGATCCATCAACAGGAGGTAGGTGGTGGTAAAATCGCAAAAACGCCCATAAAAACCGAAAACGCAAAACTGAAAATTTCGATGTTCCCCTTGCATGGACCTAATGAACCTCCATACCAATTTTGGTGAAAATCCATCCACATCGTGCGAAGTAGTTACATGAACATATAACAGACAGTACTATTATATTTATATATACACCTGGAAAAAAGTTAAGCTCCCCCAAATATTTTTCAGGATTGCTT